AGGGACTTCATTCCTCTCGAGAAAGTCATCGCTTGGCCACCCCTCCTCTTCTTCCATCCACACCCCCGGCGCGCAAACAACGCACGTCGCGGGAGTCGATGGGCTGGCATGCGCAACACGTGGCCCAGCCACCGGAGCCTGGTGCGGGAAATAACGGTGCTGAGCGGTTCAGTTCCTTTTCCTGGGCCGTAAACAAGGTGTCGAACACGCTCGTTGCTCACGCGGTGTTCCCACCAGATGTGAGCTAAATTGCGAAGGCAAAGGTGGTCGAAAGTAACTAGCCTCTTCAGGTCCGCCGATCTTAGGGGCCAGGTTTCGCAACCGTACAGTAAGGTCGAGCGCACCGCTGATATGTACACACTACCCTTCAGGGCGAGAGTAATGTCGCGCCGCTGCCACAGGTGGAGAAGGTTAGCAAAAGCACTTCGAACTTTCGCTATACGGTTCGTGATCTCGTCTTCGATCCCAAGGGCGCTGATACAACTTCCCAGGTAATTGAATTTCTGAACGACTAGCTGATTCCCACCAAGTGTCAGCACAGGGGGCGATCCCTGCCAATCTTGGAGAAACGCTTTGCACTTCGGTGGTGCAAAGCAAAGCCCGAAGTGACGGACAGCTAGTGCTAATCTGTCCAGTGCCGCTTGGCACGTCTGGGAGCTGTCACAGATTAGGGCAATATCATCAGCATACTCTAAGTCAAGAAGTGGTTCTCCTGGGAGCAGATCCACACCTTCCAAGTCGTGTCATGTGAACGCGATTTCCATGACTTCGTCAACAGCGAAGTTGAATAGGAAAGGTGACAGCGGGCATCCTTGTCTCACACCGCTGGAGATATTAAAGTGCGACGACAACTTGCCGTAAGCCCTCACTCTGCCCGAGCTACGCGCATATAATGCTCGGATAATATTCACATATTTCTCAGGTACACCTTTCCTGAGTAGACAGTCCCAAAGTGCAAGTCTATCCACCGAATCGAATGCACCTTTGATATCGAGGAACACGACAACGGTGGGCCGCCAATATATGTGACGGTGCTCCAACAACTGACGCAAGGTGAAGATATCATCAATGCAGCCACGACCTCGACGAAACCCGACTTGCTCTTCACGAATCTGGAATTCACAAGCGCCAGTCAGTCTGTGAAGGATGACAGAGGCAAGCAATTTGGAGGCGATAGAGACCAAACTGATTCCTCTATGGCTGCTGCATTCTGATCGTGAGCCTCCCTTGAAAACTGGGACTATGACGGAGCGGCTCCAGTCGGTTGGGACAGTTGCCTGCTCCCACAGTTTAACTAGCAATTCATGTAAATTATCCACAAGAGCAGGTCCCCCGAATTTGAAGAGGGCTGGAGGAAGATCATCTGGTCCCGCGGCTTTGTTCAACTTCAACAGTCCGACCTCACGTTCGACTTCTGAGCGAGAGGGTGAATCCAAAGGGACAGCCAACGGAACAGGGCGATCACTGGTCGGCGAGAAATCTAACAATTCCGACCGATTAAATTGCCTTTCAAAGTGCTCAGCCCAACGTTCCAGGCGTTTTGTAAGTTGTGGATAGGATGTCCACTCTCGTCACGTATAGTTTCGCTAATACCAGGTCTTCTGTTGCCCGATTCCCGTATCAGACGGAATAACTTTCGATGGTTGCCAAGGGCAGCGGCCAATTCCATCTCTGATGCACGATGAGACCACCAGAATTCGCGATCTCTCTTCAGGCTAGCACGAAGTTTTGCCCGGAGCACTTTGCGAGTTTCATTGTGTTCGCTTCCAGCCGGAATATGCCGGCGAGCATCTATAAGTTTCAGAGACTGTGAAGAGATCCAATGTCTATGTTGGCGATTAGACATACCACATGAGGATTTTCCTGCTGGTAGTAAGATCTGGTGAATATGAGACCAGTGAGCTTCAATTGCATCCAGTGAGCGTTTATCCAACTCGCATGACAGCGTACTTCGATACGCATTCAGAACAGCTGGCTTTGTCAGTTGGCTGGTGTCAATGCGGTCACGACGTCGTCATTTGCGTCCGCGAAAGTGCATCCGCAGGTCAGCACATACAAGTGCATGATCGGTGTCCACACCTGTGCTCCAAATCGAGCGACAGTTCTGGATGCAGCCACTCCATCGGTAACTTATGGCAATGTGATCGATTTGCGTCCATAGCTGGTTCGAGGCTGGTGGGCGCCAAGTCACCCTCCGGTGGGTGCTGTGTCGGAAATTAATGCTCGCTAGAAATAAGCGAGCATCCTCACACAAAAGAAGTAACCGCTCATCGTTATCATTACGGGAGCCTACAACATGTTGGCTGCCCAGATGCAGCTCATCAGTGGATAATTTTCCAACTTGAGCGTTCAGATCCCCAGCCAGACTACAGTGTCCGAGCTTCTGTGGCTAAGGAGCTCGTTCAGTTGACGATAGAAGTCGTCTTTTACCGAGTCTTCGCTACGGTTTGTCGGTGCATAGGCAGCGATAATGAATAGACATCTGTTAGTCCCACGCAACTTCGAAGTTTTGAACGAGCCAACCAACCGGACCGCACACATCCGGCTACTGATTGGAATCCAATCAACCAGAGCAGTTTCAACCCGGGGACTCAGGGCAATGCCAACACCGGCTTGGCCGGTGCTCGAAGCTGCATCGTCACCGGATAGGCGCAATGAGAAAGTGCTGCTAGTGTCACCTGCAGGGGATCGCAGAGTGAGCACAGAGCTCGAGTCTTGCAGGCAGGTCTCCGATAAGCAGCAGATATCGATTGAGAGGGTCGCTAATGTTCGGGCAAGTGCTGCCTGTTGACCGATCTGAAGCAATGTGCGAACATTGAGGCATGCCAATCTGAAGGAGGATCGAGGGCTCCAAATGGAAGTCGATGAACTGGGCTTGACCGCTTGGTTAGACATGGGCTTGTTGACAGGGCAGGAATGACGCTCCGCGTTCACATGTGAGTTGAAACTAAAAGACAAGCGACTATTGAAGCAAGGTGGGGGATGGCCGAGAATTGGGGGGTTGAAAACAGGGGGGATAAAAGTGAAGCTGGAACGGGACGATAAGGGTGAAAAAGCGTAAGAGGGGGAATAAGAAGACGGGAAGGCTTGAGCAGTAGCATCCAAACCCCTATCCACCCTGCTCGATGCAGCAGATAGGGCACCGTTGATTATCCTCTGCGGTGGCCAGAGCATCAGAAATTTGTTTGAAGTGAGATTCAGAATACAGAATACCTCCTTAACGACTCCAGAACTGCCTTTGAGTGCTGAAAGAACGAAAAGATACCACATCCTAGACTACTGTTTATTGACACCGGTGGAGCTTCAATGTCGAATGGCACTCATGCGGTTGTTAAAGGGGGATCCATTCCCAAAAAGCAACTTTCTCGCGTCTAATTAAGGTAAGTTCGACACCGTAAACACTGTGAACGTTGGATTCGTCCACATCGGAGACACCAAGTGCAAGTTTGTTTACTGGAAGCCGATTATGGTAAGTACAGATGAAGTATGGGACTGATGTTCTGTTTGCGCGTCTCGAAGATAGCATACACCAACTCTCGGGGAGTGTAAATTGTTAAGGAGCGTCTCTGATTGGCCGATCTGATAGTGTGCGATTGTTGAGAGACTCCGTGTAGAACGGTGCGACTGACCAGAACGAAGATGCAATTTCTTTGCCGGTATGTTGTATAAAAGCATTGGTCGCATCTACCTGATAAATAAGAGGGCTCATGAAAAGAAAAGACGAAGAAAGAGAGAGAGATTGCTAAGGATAGTTTTGTGGGTGATAATACTCTCTAACTGTTCACCCCGTGAGTGGTGTTTTGGATGCCCTGAAGTTTAAAAGTCTGATCCCTACGGTGACTGTAGGGGCCGACTGGGATCTGCCCGGAGCTTGTTTCACACAGCATTAGAAGACTCAGAACAATCTGCGTTTGCCAAGCATAGCAAACCAAGCACTCGCGACCACAAGTGGGCTCTTAGGGCATTCGAACAAAGTAGCTAGTTTGAGGCAAGCAACAGTAAAGGCTGCACTCTTCAGTTATCGGGGCCAACGCGGTGACGCAAGCGTTCTACGTTAATTAAACCGGGCATATAGCCCATGGCTAGGTACTGAGGGAAGAGAAACATCGGTTTGTCTGTGGCATACAAAAGTAAGAACACCAAGAATCAGTCTGTTTGACATCTAAACTCTTTGCTTAGTATGAGTGGCGCTGAGACTGGTTAGAAAGTGCTGCTTAATATAGCTCAGTGGGCCTTATAAATGGCAAATGGCAAGGTACCGGTAGCTGGCTGGTATCAATACTTAGTTGCCATGTGACCATCAGTAATCACATGCGAGCCAGGGATACCGTGAGGTTGCAAGTACATAGGCAGGTTTGAAGCAGTAACTTGTGGATTACAAGGCAGACGCGCCTAAAGTACTCAGCCAGCATCCACCTTAATGGATCACAAAACTGCTCAAACCATCGCAAAAAATTAAGGTGCGTTTCGCCGCAGTGAGAAAAGGTGTATAAAGAGGATCCAACATGATGGATCTATGATGTAATTAGTAAGAATCGAAAGAGAACATTAAAAAAATTAGGAGCTCCGAATCACAAGTCAAGTACAATTTGAATCGAAAAGTAAAATCATCGAGAATCACCGGTTAAGGTCTAGTTTTATATGACAGGATTGGCAGGGGGACTAACCTACACCACTAGGCAAGGAGATAAAACAGGAGATGATAAGTCGTGAGGAAATGAAGTGGTGGATAAAGTAATGACTCGATCATTCAGATAGATGAAAGTAGAAATTTTGTAATTAGCTGTTATCTAAACGATACTGGTTGAGTTCTGCTGGAAGCCATATAGGGATATGGAACGAACTGTCCAAGCATAAGGGTAGATGCAGGAGGTATTCCGGTAGACTATAATTATCTGACAAATATATACATGTACGCGTAGTGCTAAATCACTGTATGGGAAAGTGAAAAAAGAGTAAACAATTCAAGAACCGAGCCGCCAGGCAAATAAAAAACAGACCTAACAATGGTCAGAAGTCGGGTAAAGGAAAAGGTATCCGCAAGTAAAGCATTCGTTAATTTGGAGACGGGATCTTCAGGTCCTGGTTGGGCTTTGCGCTTCAACAAAAGCAGTAACAAATCCAATGCAGGCGCACGTGTGCCCTCCATCAGAATAAGATTTAGAATGAGGCGCAGGAACGGGAGCTCGGATGCAGAGCATTCTGATTCGGATATACCAGGTGGTCTCCACTGTAAGATAAAATCCATGCGACATGAGTCGAGGTATCCAGAGAGCATTGCGAGGGCTTCGCGACACAGTGATATCGTTTCATCAGGATTGTTTGCCTACAAGTTAAAAGTACACGTCTAACATACCTGACCGCCTGCAGCATGCAGGTGTTTCATAATCATTTCAAAAGCAAAGGAGAATAACTGCGGAATGCTATTGTTTAGAGTGGAGGCGATATCCCGCCGTCTAGGTGGAGGTACGTCTTGGAACTGTACGACATCTTCGTAAAGTCGGAGGAATGTGTTCAGTGTCAGCTTAGCTTGGATTGTCTAGGAATTAAAGAATTTCACGTAACTTACTCCCTTCCTGCCGAGAATAAAAAACTCTTCTAACATGGTCGGCCACCGTTGAGGCCATTCACATTTGATGAGATAGACAAATATCTGAGTCAGGACTGACAATATAACTTTTCGTTCGGCCTCCGCATGTATCAAGGTTTGCAGCTGAAAAAAATACTGAAGGAAAACTAACTCACGTTAGCAGACAACTGAAACATGCTTTCTTTTATAGTACATTTCATATCAGAAGCGATCTGATTCCAGGAATGTCTGAGAAGTGGGAATTAAAACTGGAATTCCTACTTGACCCGATGCTCTAAACATTTCAAACCAAACAGAATTACAGAAGGATGCTGACCAGGACCACATAAAACTGGTAAGTCGTTTAATTGGAAAATATTAATTTTATACTCCTCGATCATCTAGAAATGGTCGAAGTAAAGTTGAAAACAAAAACCTTGAAACATCTGCTTCGATCTGCGTTGCTGACATCAGGATCTAGCGTAGTCAAAACGGCTTTCACAATTGTCTCAGAATCCATCTCGTGAGTTGTGCGAAGAAATCAAAGGTACTTTCTTCAAAAAGGATGTGGCTGGAAAAGAAAGGTGGTTGCGACCAAACGTGGCTGCTAGTTTATATGATGTAGGAAAGGAAATCGGACATGGCACTGTGCAGCTAGGGCGGTTCCATACGTACATAAGCCGCAGAAAAACAAGAAATAAGGCTAAGCAGAAAGTAGGGGTCACAAAGAAAGCGCGAATACCCTAAAAGCAACCACAAGTGGGATATTGTAGAGGGCATGCTTGAGACTTGAAACTGTCCTGTATGGTCACGAAGAGCCGCAGTCCCATGCGCCTGCCAATGGAAAAAATCTGGAGGACAGTAGAGGCAATAAGTTTAGCTAAGAAGCAAAGTTGCTTCTCGATAGTGTTCTCAACTAAGGACTATTAGAACGTTCTATCGTCCCCGCTGTACAATTTTCGATATGTGCAACTACCGCGATTACATAATTGAACATCAAACCCAATGCAATGCAAACGACTGTGACAGTGAAGCGAGCGCAAAGATTCCTCGTCGCAGTGGCGCAGTTGCCAAATAGGTAATCGTTGGGAACATCGCTGAGATCTTTGCTGTTCTTCCAAAGGAGTGAAAATTCTATGACCTTCAGTGTTTTAATACTTGCGTTTCTAAACTCCTTCCACCCAGGTTCCCTGATGCAACTACCAGAAAGCAGGATGGGACTTCGACCCTGTCCACTGCGCGTGGTTTTTCCACATCAGAGGGGCGTCAGACATTATTGTGCTTCACCTTCAATCCATATTGTTCAGAGATTAGTGTGCAGCTGGATATACAGATATTGTGGCATCCGAATCACGTCAGAATAATAAAACAGGATCAGAATGAAAACATGCACCATTTTCGTCCGGTTTTCAACTCGTAGCTTCGTGTATCTTTTTTACATAGTTTCTCGTATTATTGGATCATTGGATGATAGAGAGCAGAAGGGAGGTCCTTTGTCAGCTCCGTCACTTCTTGATCGCGGCGGAACAATTTCCCACGGAGAACCACTGAAGCTGTATTGGAAACAGATGGATCCCCGCAAACTAAAAGGAGAATCTAACAGAGGGTTGAAACGCTCCTCGGTCTCGGCATCGATGATGGATTCCGGAAGGCAGTTCCAGGCATTTACGACGGGAGTAGTTAAAGCCAAGCTGGATCGCACTCGATAACCACTCGGTTTGAACCGGTTCAAACTGTGGCCTCATATCGAGCTCTCTGTGTTGAGATGAAAGAAAGAAGCAAGGTTCACGCGACATAAGAGGAAGCTCTATCTGAATGAATGTAGGCTGGCATACCAAACATCGAAAAGAGCTGACAGAAGCAGCTTCTCACGGTGGAACATGCCAAATCGGAGCATGCAAAAGTGAATGGAAAACAAAAAAGTATCCCACAATAGTTAAAAGATAGCGATTTCGAGGGAAGATGACCTTTAAAATCAGTATTGACGTGTTTAAAAGTCTGATTTGTTTTTAGCAGCTCTCCCAAAGGGAGTTGAAGAAACCTCGATTTCAACTCACAATAAACGGAACAACTCAAAATCATGGATTTGATTACAGCCCCAGAATAGGATAGGTATCATGCAAGTTATGCCCAGGTGTTACAAAGAATCATGTTTTAGGTTCAGACTACCAGATGAGCTGCAGCAGCAGGTACGGTGTCGGCTCCGTGATTACTGATTACTAGTTGGAAGCAGCAAGTAGAGTTTACTCTGTGTAGCTGCATCTAATATCACTCAGGGACAAAGACCCGTTATGTTGTGTTGCGCTCAAAATACTTGGCGTGGGCAGTGTTTGTCCAGGAACTTCTTAAATTCCGACGTCGACTGCCTCAACTACTTGCTGCGGCATGCTGTTCCATACATTCACTACTCTGCGTTCGAAACAGAGTTGGTGAGCGACCAGCTTCAAATCCGGTAGGACAAGATTGTACCGGTGTCCTCGTGTGCTGGGACTTACCGTAGTGAAATATCGCAAGTTCAAGCCTCCATCGGTGTTTGGTTGTTTTTAATGTTCGCCTGGTTCATACTGTGGTACATGAAAGCCACAGAACGTTGATCTGTGATTAGTTTGAAGTGATTACCAATTAGTAGGTGCCGTCATTTTCTCACTGCCTTAACGATATAGTAGTCATCATTTTCCACCCAGGAATGGCGCTTCTCAATGGAAGATAACATGCGAGAAAAGAGAGCTATCAGCCTACCGTTTTGATTTAAGGCAGCAGAGATGGTTACATCAGAAGCATCCGTTTCAACTACATGGGTACACGAGGATCGATAGTGGTAAGTACTGCGCTCTTCAGTTCCTTCTTCAAATCCTCAAAGGACATTTGGATGAATGGTGTCATGAAAAATTGTGTTTTCAGCAGGTGGGCCAATTTTATCAGAGGAGTGTGGTATCCATTGGGAGTAGTTAGCGAAAACCTCTGTCACTCTTCGTTGAGCCTCGATGTCGGTGGAAGGCAATTATTACAAAGGATTCATTCGCTCGGAGAACTTCGCCTGATTTATGAGCAACAGACAAAGTAGATCAGTCCCAAAGCCTATCTAAGACTTTCTGAATGCGTTCGGAACCTCCAAGGACAACGACAATATTCCACAGCTTCAGGTCATCAGCAAATAGCAGGGATGGAACCTCAAGCTCCGCGAGTACGTCATTCACATAGAGAACAGAAAATAATAATAATGTGTCAGCTGCACGCCGTAACGGCACTTCGCTGCCGCGCGACCACCACCAGTCGCGCGCGGGATGAGTATACCGCGAGGACGCTCACCCCTACGCGGATAGAGAACAGAAGCGGTCTTAGGACCGAGCCCTGCGGTACGCCACTGAGGACAGATTGTCTAGGTGATAGAAAGTAGCGTACCCGTACACACTATTCTCTACCGTCCAAAAAGGCAGTCACCCAATGAAGGGCGCGGCCAGATATACTGTAAGGACTCGGCTTTTGCGAAAGCTTCAAACGGGGTACCGTGTTAAAATGCCTTCGAAAAATCGAGGAAGAGCAAGTCAAATGCGTGGCCGTTATCCACTGCATCCGCCCAAGGTTCGCGAGCTACAAATAGATTCGTCAGACACGAAAATCCCTTCCGGAATCCGTGCTGCACATTAGTAAATTAAACCTACTCAGATAACAATACAATGAATCCCGCATCAGCTTCTCGAGGAGTTCGAATACTACACTCGTCAGACTAACTGGCCTGTAATGTACAGGCAAACGTCACCATTTTTGAAGATGGGACAGATGACAGCTTCCTTCCATTAGGAAGGTAATGCACAGCTGTCAAGCGATTTCTGAAACATGATAGCGAGCGGTTCACTTAGTTCTACAAACAACCCAAGTAACAGTTTCAGGGTGAATTAAATAAGGCCCAGACGTCTTAGAAAGATTCAACCCTTGTAACAGCCTACGGACTTCCGTATCCGCTACAATGAATTCAGATAGGCCCGAACCCTCTGGGATCCTACAAACCATCTCAACACTTGTCAACGAGGTTTCCCTTACAAATGCTGTCGCATGTTGCCCACTAAGTACGCAAGCCTTGTCATAGTCCGCATGAGTATAAATACCGTCGCCAAGTATCAACATTGGAAATGACGAGTTCGAAACGTAGCGCCTTTTGACATATGCAAAGAACCTTTTTGGATTCTCTGACGCTTCGTATGCTAACCGTTTTACAAAATTGAGCCGAGCATTTTTTAGGTATTGCTTACACCTGTTTCTAGCCTTACGGTACCTGTCATAAGTACCGGTGGATGGAGCGTCTCGGTAAGTCCGCCAACATTTGGACCTCATTGTGAGCAGATGCCTGCCAGTAAAATATATCCAGGGCGGCTGCGCCCGTGCCTCCTTTACCCTTATGACATGGATGAAGGGAGCAGAGACCTCTGTGAGGTAGGACTTGAATCTGTGAACATATTGCTGCTAAAAACAGCATGGCATCGTCAAGAAAAAATCGCCTTACCAACTTGCTGTTTTCTTGATGAAATAACTCCATGTTTCGAGGATCGCATACCAGTAGAAGTGTGTTACCTTGACTTCAGCAAGCCTTTCGACGGTAAATCACCGATTCTAGTTTAAAAAATGACCTGGTTTGGAATACTTCCACAAATGCTTTCTTGGCTGTTTGCATTCCTCTATAGCAGGATATCCAGTATCAGGGCTGGTGACGT